AAATTTCAGACAAAAGCAGACTTTGTGGACAGATTGGAGTGATATTCAAAATCTGTTCTGTTTAGTTACAGTCCATTTGTGGAATTTCTGCCTCTCACAGTTCTTCCTAAGGTTTTTTCTAAGATATTTAGAAATCTATCAGGAAATCCCAAGGCTTAGCTTCCTAATTAGTGTTGTGAAGCTGTGTTTGAAGCATATAGCAATTCAGTTGCAAAGTGTGTAACACCTCTGAAAATCCTCCTTTCTCTTCTCCCACCTTTCCTCCTGCTGAGCAGTGACTCTTAGCATGCCATACACTCTGGGCACAATCTGTGGGCTGCTGTGAGGGGCTTAGTCTTTATGGAAATAGCTGTGCCTTCCATGAGACAATTCCCCCTTTCAGGCAGAGGCTCTTGCTTGCAGCATGGGAGTCCCTAGGTGTGAGTGCAGGTGAATTTGTCCAGGGAATCCCGCCCAACAAAGCAAATGAGATCACGACCACAAGACAGTGCCCAAGTACATTGAAATGAAAGAACTCTATTTTCAGTTACTGAAATTGAGCTCTTGGGCAAGTAAGTCTTGACAAAATCTATTTTATTTTTCTGAAGGGAAATAGATGCAATTTGCTGTTGACTAAATCGTATGTAGCGAAAGTTAAAAGGGAAACATTTCCAGGAATCTCTTATTGCAAGTCAATATATACCACTAATATGTTCCCTACTGCAGTAACAAGGAGACCTTGGGACCAAGCTCTTACTGTTTGATTCTTGCAAGCTCAGCTGGTGGTCCCTGTGCCTTATTAAATTCCTCTCGTCTTATTTTTGCACACTTATTCCCTTGAGCTACAGCTTAACTGCGTAACTTCTCTCGCAACTTGTCGATTCTTAATAAAATTTGTTGAGCATTAAGGTCCAAGGTTGGCTCATCCCTATGAGTAAGTCTGTTCAGCTTTCAGTGCAGTCAGTTATGCTGCACTTAGCTTGATTTGCTTTGCTTAAGGCTTTCTGAACAATTGGTTTGCTCAGTGCTGTTGCTAACCCCAGTTATAGCCGTGTGATGACCTTTCTCCAGCCCTGATTATTTATGTGTATCCTGCAGCTCACTGGGGAAGTCTGTGTTGGCTTCCAAACAAAGATTACTGTCTATTACATATAACCTAAAAATATAACTGTGAATATGTGTAGGAGCTAGGAGCAGGATTTTTTTCCTGGAGTTTATTAACATACTATTGTATTTATTTCAAAACCTACAAGATGGATGTTTTTAGAGATTTACTGTTCAAAAGTTGCTCTAATTATAACAGACAGATTGATAGGTGCAAAGTAGAACCAGTTACATTCATGGGCTTTATAAAGCAGTTTAAACTATTGCTTTTATATATAGCTCTCTTCACTGGAAACCTGGAGTTGCAAGACAAAATGCCTGAGTTTTGGTAGCTACTTACAAATATGGTAGAGTGGTAGACAAAAATGAGTAAAGTTATGGGTGCTGAAAATGTCCAGCTACCCAGAACAAGTAGGATGAAGTGTCCTAAATTTCTGTTTTCATTAAAAAGGAAAAAAAAAGGCCAAGCAAAAAAATCTGTTTGATTACTAAATAAACCTCTCTGCTCCAGCTTTCCATCTTTCATTTGTTTAGTTAGATTTCCTATGAGGTTTAGGTCTTTTTCCTCTGTGTGTGTGTGATCCTAAGATGACACTCATGGAGTGAGGAACATCAGAAGAGAAAAATTTCTGAATGTCTCCATCATGCAGAAAGCTTCATCTGCAACTCATGCCTACCCCAACACCCAATAGTAGTCACAATTGTGGTGCTCTAAAACACCAGGCTGCATTAATTTGGGCTCTCGTAGAGATTTTATTAACTTTTAATCAAAAGACAATTCCACAAATATGATGTTGGGTAATCAGCCATAGTTTATTTCTTTTTCTTTCAAAAACCCCATAATTGTAAAAGCCAGTAACATTTGGTTGTGTCTTAGGAGTATAAAATGGGGAAGTGAGAAAGCCCTCCTGTGCCTGTGTGTCCTGCTGCAGCTTGCAGAAGCTTTGTTCATTCTGTTGCAGGACAGTGTGCACCACAGCTGTTTGTGCTGCTGTGCACCAGAGCAGGGGCTGCCAGGGGTCAGCCTCAAAGGAAGGATGGCTTGGAAATACAAATATATCTCATTACTTTTACTCCCTCATGGATTCTTGCCTGGTCCTGTGAATTCCTGCAGTTTGCACTTACCTAACCCTGGATATTCAGTGCTGTTAAGAAGTTTCCATTATCATAAGCTATAAATTTTATTCACCACACCCATTCCCATGAGCATCCAAGCACCTGGTCTGACATACCATTGAAACAGACAAAGCAAAATTATGCAGAAAGTGGCAGCAGGAATTATGGGCATCAAAGATACATGTGAAACCCATAAAAATGGCAGGTGGGTGTTCTCCCAGGCTGGCTGTGCTAAGAGAGTGGGTGAAGCAGTAGCAGAGTGGAAAACCAACAGAAATTAGAGTCTAATGCTACTTGCACAGGAAGGATGGAGAGAGGTGAGGGGGAGTTCAGAGGGCAGTCAGGCAATGTGAAGGAAAGAACAACTTCCAGCTGTAGAAAATTGCAGGGAGGAGACCAAAAGGAAGCAATTCTCACAGACAGTAAACACTTTTGCTATTATAGTAACTAAAATTAATAAATATTTATCTTATTAAACTGTCCAAAGGACTTGGACTTCACTGGACTGGTCTCTGAGTAAATGTGAAAACTGTCTCATTGGGGCTTCCTAGTGAGATCAGTGAGTTTGTAGAACAAAGCTTGTGACAACAGGTCAGGATAAAAGAATGCAGGTCTCCTGGGCAAACTGCTGTGCTGACTCTCTTTCCCCCTGTGCATAACAGATTCTGCTCTGCTCTGCAGAAACTCCAACAATGTTTGATGCTGTTTAGATACTGCAGCAGAGTGGATGTATAGAAGGGCTCTGGCCAAGCTGATCCTCTGCAAGTGTTGCTGCATTCTGCTGCTGCTGCACTCTCTCTCCAGAAGGCAGCTCTCTCTTGTGCTTTCATTTGGCATGACAGAGGGACTACACACCATCTCCAACCTCTGGAGGTGGTGGTACTCATAAGATGAGTTGGTGTCAAAGAGGTAGCTTGGAATAAGCCTACAGAGACTACACTGTCCAAACCAAAGTTAGAATAACTTCAGATTTAAACCAGGTTAACCAGGACCTTGTCCAGTCTTGTTTCCAAAATCTCCCAAGACAAGACTCCACCATGTCCCTGGACAACCTCTTTCAGTGATTAATCTCTCTCAGTCTACATTTTTATCCTATTATGTCCAATTAGATCTTGTCTTGCTGCAACTTGTTGTGACTGCTGTCTCTTGCTGAACACCTCAGAAAGAGTTTGCCTCCACCCTCATGCAAAGTCCTTTTTCTATAGCAGGAGGCTGTAATTAAATTCTCCTAATACTCTCCTCCAGGCTGAGCAAACATGTTCCACCAGCTTCTCCTTGGATTTAATCTGCTCCAACCCCCAGCTGAATGACCTTTCTCTGGATTCTTTCTAGGTTGAAAGTGTATGTCACCTATTGGTGAGCTCGAAGCTGGACCCAGGTGCAGCCTCACAAGAGCTGAGTAAGAGCAGTATGCCCCTTGTCTTTCTGCCTATGCCCCCTGCTAAGGCAGTGCTGTATTCTGCACCCCTGCCCAGGCCCCTCTCACTGAGCTACAAGCCACAAAGTCTGTCCCCTGTTTGTACTGCCACCAAGAACATTTCTGTCCCTGGGGCAGTACTTGGTATTTTGCTGAAGTTAATGTGTTTCCTCTCTGTCCAGCCTTCTGGCTTGTTGAAGCCCCTCTGCTTGGCACTGCAGCTCCTCAGCACAGAAAGTTTTCCCCATAGCTTGGCATCAGCCATCAGCCTTTTTCATTTTTTCTCTCCTGCTCGCTGATGAAGATATTAAAGCATGTCACCTTCCATATTGGCTCCTTGGGCCCACCACCACTTATTAGTCCTTAGAGTTGAGTGTAGTCCTTAGAGCACACTTTGAGTGTAGGCAAATTTTCTTCTGCTCTGTTTCAAATCACCCATTTGCCTGTGTGTCCTGCTAATCCTTTGGGCTAGCTGTGTAACCAGCTAGAAGAAATGAGGGGTGCAATTGAAAATGCTTTAGACAAACTTTTCTATTCCTGGAAAAATCCCTGCAGAGGTGATTATGGATCAGAATAACAGTATCCCATAAAAACTTTCCTATTCACTTATATTATTAATCATCATTGCAATCATCACCATCCTCTTAGAATTTAAAACTGCATTAAAAAAAAGATATGTATCATGCTTGAAAGAATAAGAACCTTTTCCATTTGTATATTTCTGACTTTCAATTGATAAAATGCTTCAAAATAACTAGAGGTCAGTGTAAATTTGTCAAGAATGTTTTTAGACTTTATCATAAACAATAACTTCCTTTTTGTATATATTTTTTTTCTTAATGGAGGAAAATTAATGCAGCATAAATTCAGTTTTTGTTGTTTTGGCCATTCACCCACTGAAATCTCAAGCAACAAAAAAGCCTGTTGCCTTTCTGCAGCCCCTAGAGTGAACTGAGCATCAGGAAGTTCATACTCTGAAAATCTACTAAATTCACTTCATTTAAAATTCAACACACAGTCCTTCCTTTTGGCAGAAGGAGCAGTTGAATACAGCAATCAGTGTGTAATTTAGTTTCTTCCTACCTGTGCAAAATGAATGTTTCATAGCCACAACAGAGGCTGAAGACTTGGAAAGCCCTTGTCCCAGTACTGCACAGAAGAAGGAAGTACATCCTGGTTCTGTCTGCTATGAAATATACCTCAGACATCCATTTCCAGCATTTGTCTCTCTTGAGCACATGGAAATAAATGAGATAAGACTGATTCTTATTTATGACGATGTAATGCCCTCTGTTTCTGTAGCTGCAGGAGTGCTCAGTTTATCAAAACCAAATGATGTGCTAGATTGTCTTAAAAAATTTTCATTGAATATTCTTGGTTGTATTTTCTTTTTATACATAAATAAGTTAAATGCATGAGTTTCAGCAGACACATAGAGAAATTTTGAACAAAAATGTTCTAAAAGGGCTCAAGGAAAATCATCTTGAATGATCAGCTAAAGGTTTGAGGAATGGGCTGCTGGGATGCAGTGCAGAAATGGTTTGCAGTAACAGCCTGGGTTAAAAATCGATGTTTTATACCACAGCTGACATGATCTTATGGTCTTAAATAGTTTGGCTAATCTGAAGGTTTTCACTACCTTCATAGAAAATGTGGGAGAAAGAAAAAAAATGATAGATTTTTCAGTTAGTGGCAAGTAAAGCAGACCCATAAATTTTATCTTGAACCAGTATACTCCACAGGCTGCAAATGATGTTTTCATCTCGTTACTGTTCATTAACCCGAGGATGTGAAATCATTCCCTATATCTGGTCCATCACCTCTCACCACATGCCCCCTCCCTTTCTCCCTCTCTCCCACCCTGGATTCCTGTGTAAATAGTGCAAGTTCATTCATCACCAGGTAATCAGAAGACTGTCATGATCTACTGGCTGTAAAATTTGAGAGTACTTATAATTTCATTTGTATTACAGAAAGACATATTTGAGAAGCTGCTGGACAGAGAAATAGAAAGAGGTGTGTATTTCACAGAATATATAGTTCGTGTTTTGCACTAGATTTTACATTAATTTTTTTTGTGATCATGGAGACTGTTTCTATTCTGTGCTGTTGTTCACATTCAAGTGAAGTTTCAAGTTTCAAGTGAAGCTTATAAATGGGGGCTATTGCTGCAAATGAAAGATAGAAAACTTATACAAATATGTACAGGAAGAAAAAATAATTTTGATACTATTAATCTCACAGAAGTTAACACAAGTGGGCCTTTAGTCATAGAGATTTCAAATGTGAAGGATTTATTTAATCTAGTTTTCAAGGCAAGTTTTGATAGCTTTAAATAATAAACATTTTGTTTAAGAAAAATCTCAAGAAAGCCCTCTGTCCATTTGAACGTATGTTAACATTCCTGTGCTTGGGACCTCCCTGAACTGTCTTATTCTGTGACTTTTATGCTGTTGACTTTGCCTTTTTGCTAGTAATGTCAAGCTTACTTGCTCAATCTAAGCTATGTGACTGAGGCACTCAGAATTATCCATTGTTTGAACAAGGCCTTGTTGTGTGCTCTGGCTGATTGATTGCTTATTCACAATAAACAAAGACTTGCACTCAAGGTCTTTGAAACATTTCTTGCTCAGCTAGTCAACATATTCAGAGAAGGCCAACTATCCCTTTCCTATATTCATTTATTCAAATAGATAACTTTTTTTTTTCTCAGACTCACTATCTTAGAAAGGGAGAGAGAGCAGTCAGGAGGAAGTATTATTTTTTTTAGTCCTACTTATCTTTCTGTTTAAGATGTAGGGGTTTTCTGGGTGCATCTTTAATCTGAGGTCACAGCACAAGATAATTTTAATGAGTACCATTTATTCTGAAATGGGATAAAGTGAAATCCTAGTAATGGTAGACGAGGAAAAACAGTGAAATCCATTGTTTCCCTGTGAAAAGAGGGAACCTGGAATTATGCTGTGAATATCTGCAAAGGGTGATGCACAGCTCAGAGCTTCACTTGGGAGGAGTATCAATTCTCAGTAAAAACCCTTTGCAGGTGATTTAGTCAATAGTTCTCTGCATAGTTTTCCTCCTTCGCTGACACAATTGGTTAACATAAACAGTTTTAAAAATATCTTAATACTGCAGTGTCACAGTCTGCCTGTTGTCTTTAAAAAGTGCTATGGAATCAAGAGCTTTTCTAGACTTACCATTCTGTATCTCTAATATGAGAAAGATAATTGCTAAGTAATGCTTTCACTGTCTAGTCCAATGGAAAGATGCAATTTGGAGATGCAGATCTGCTTTCGTTTTATGGTGAGGGGGAAAGAGAAACGTCCTGCAGGTTGCTGACATTTTGCTGTGATAATGACTCCACTGTGCTGTGCAGTCACAATATAACACAACTGTCTGTCTTCTGTATTCACCATTCCCTTCTACCTGCTCCTATGCAAGGGAAAGTCTCATGTAGAGGTGAGATCAACAAAGTTCCTCCAAATAAAATTAATGATGTTGCTATAAAGGGGAACATTTTATAACATATGGTATATATGTAACTGACAAGTTTTATGGCAATTCTATAGTAAGAGTCAACCTTATTTAAAAAAAAAAAGTATGAATCCTAACATTTTTTTAATAAAGTTCTCCACCCATCCCCTCTTAGTGTCTTTATTAGTATTGGATCGGGTTGGGAATGGAGGAGAAATATTACATAGTACATTTTTTTTTTCTACCCACTGGTTGTAAGAATTGTTTTATTATTTACATAAATTTCAAGCTCAAAGCACACCTGTATTGCTATGTACATAAAAATATGCCTGAAAGATGTGAAACTTCCCTCAAACACTGCATTCCTTTGCTGCATTTTGGAAGCTTATTCTTATGCTTACACTGGTTAAATCATTCATTCTTTTAGAATATGACATTCTATATATAAACATCACTTTGTAATTTTTTTGATTCTGTATACCATTAATATTTGGAGGAAAAAAATGTATCTTGAAAAGTTAATTGAAACAGCAGATCAGTCTTCTGCTTTCAATGGCAGATCACATGCAGAGGTGGTGAGATGAGGTCAGTTCAAAGCAGGTGTTAACATGAGGGAAGAGTCAAACTCCATTTTTTTTGTGTGAAAAGAGTGACTAATACATGAAAGGTTAATTTAGTAGTAGCATTTAGTCATGGCTTCCTGTAAATGTAGCACTTTGTGTAACACGTAATTATACAGCAGTAGTTCTAGGTACCTGTGTGCTGGAAAACAGGGCACTAATAGGAACAGAACCCCTGCTTTACAGTCCTAAGAAATGAAATTTGTA